CGAAAATAATAAATTTATTAGATGAAAAAGCAACAAGTATTGCATTTTTAAATTATGTAAGTTTTTAGAGAAAAACAGGGAGAAAACCAACTATGTTAACCTAATCAGGCTAATTATTTGTTGACTTTTCTTTCTTGATTCCTATTTACATTGGCTGGATTCATGTTTCGAAAAAATAAATCAAGGTATTGCATTGACCTTTTCACATCTTATGTTATTATTGTAAACTGACAAATGTACTTATTCCGAAATAACCATAAGTATATTATGAACTAAAACTTTTTAGTGTTTAAGTTGTCTGAAGGTCAAGTTAGGACTGATCTGCAACTGTTATGTATGTGCGTTAGTTCACTGAGTTTAAAAGTGATTGTGTAATGGAATTCGATTAATTGATTCGAAGATAACGAAAGAGACCCATTGTGTCACTGAAGAGGAAGGAATGTAATTCAGAGAAAAATTTTTTTCGACGATTTTAATTACTTAAGTCGTACCAACTGGAACCATTATTCCACGATTATATGGCCTACCTAAAGTATATAAGAAAGAGACCCCTATACGTCCTATGCTAAATATAAATAATTCGCCATACCATGCCATCGCCAAGTGCCTGGCTGAGATTCTACTACCAGTCAGAAGTCAACTCAGTAGATACACCACTGTTGATTCGTTTGATTTTTTGATAATAAATCAAGTGTCAACGTAACCGGAAAGAAGGTGACATCACTAGATATCTCCTATCTTCTTACAAATGTACCTCTAACGGAAACAATCTGCCTACTATGTGATTGTATTAGAAATAATAAATTCGATGTCGGTGTTCCAATACACTATTTCAAAGAACTACTTCTTCGATGCACTCTCAACTTCCAATTTATTTTTAACAGTGAGTTCTATAGATAAACTGACGGCGTAGAAATGAGTTCACCACTCGGCCAAATACTAGCTCACTGTTTCATTGCTAATTTCGAAAACACTATACTTAGACCGATAACTGACAGCTTCTATATTTACTGGATATACTTAGACAGCACCTTTATTATTTGTGACAAAAGTATCAATGTCAACAACATCCTAGACGCTTTCAATAACTGTCGTCGATCAATTAAGTTCACGATGGAATCAAAGTCAAATTCAGAATTCCACTTCTGAGATATTTTGGTAAAAAGGAGACCTGAAGATTCCCTACAAAGATCGATACATCGAAAGCCAACATGGAATGGTGAACACAAGAATTTTCAAAATTTGATCTCATTGAAGCAAAAGAGAGACTTGATCCATTTTCTCTGTTCGAAGACTAGACACATTTATACTAAAGATACAATCGATAACGAAATTGGTAAACTACTGCAGACACTAATCAACAATGGATGTCCACCTAGACTCATTGAGAAAAGTCTGGAACCAAAGCAACAAGGTGAAAGTGTTCATGGCACCAAAGAAGACTTTCTTCATGAACATTCAGTCTAAAGGAGATACTACAGCAGAAATTCTGAAAAACAAACTTTCAAGATCTATGAAGAAAACTTTCTATTCGGCTGAACTTCACATTATCTGTTCTAGTCGGCCTGTGATTCGAAGTTGTGGGAAGTATAAGCTCCAGCTTTTGGCCAAATCAATGTGTATCTGTCAGTTTACTTGCTCATGCGTGGCAGGTTAAATTGGCCTCATAAAGCAAGCTCTCTCAAAACGCATTTCCGAACATTGCCCTGCCTGGCACTCCAAAGGTTTTCAGAAGTCAGTCGAAAGCTCAATCTTGGAGCATCGAGTCGATTCCGGTCACTCCACTTCACCAGGAACCTCCTTTAGATTTATATATACAGTCAAAATAGCTGGATCAATAAAAGTGTAAATGAAAAACTTATGTACAGTAGAAGCTATGTACAGTTTAAGCCTAAAATTTGCGTACAAAAACAGTATGTTCAATCCCATATTCTTCTGCAGTCCTAACCTCCTTTTTTGTCTCCCATGATTTATCATTTTTATTTATTTTATCATTCCTACTTTTTTCCAATTATTTTCAGAACCATTAATTAGTAATTATTACAACTTCTAATAACAATCATTTCACCTTACCACTTTTCAATAGCTGATTATTACATAATTTCCTTTCAGTATCTGATTTCCAATTTAATTAATTAACACCTTTCTCATTATAGAACACTACTTCAGTAAACAAAAACTGATTATAAATATGATTGTCAATGAAATCGTCGAAAAGAAAAATTTCTCTCCCTGAATTCCCTTCCTTCTTCTTCTTCTTTAACGATTTGAGGATGATAAAATGAATATTTCTAAATATTTTACCAAAACTGTAATTTTCACAATGAACAGAACCTTTACATTGAAAGTTAATTATATTACAAGTATCTCAAATGGGAGGATATTATACGAATTTAATGCAACCCAGTTTCACCTAGTTACATCATCTCAGAATATAAATCTATTAAGCATCAAGTATGACTCGATATCATTCATCTGCTTAAGCAGCCGCCAAGGGTTGAAGTGAATTCAAAAGTATCGCCGATTGAATTGAATCAGATTAGGTACATTGTTGATGGGAAGGCAAAAAAGACAGAAACACTGGTCTGGCCTTTAGATCACTTTGATGTACGTTCAGTTCTGCTTACCAACTGGTTTTCAGTTACTTATTTTACACAGTATTCTGAAACTTTAAATTCAACTCTTGATCTTATATAAACCTACAGTCTCCCATACCCTGATAAAATAGAGAACTGATTGTCATTAAACCTAAAGTTATAACTTTTAGTCACTTGAAAATGTTAAGTTATAAAGCAGATAAGGAATTATTCAAGAAACTGACGGATTAAAATTGTTACCGACTAACATCGTCAACAATAAGTGCAAGTTTCATAAATTTTTATAAACTATCACAATACACTAGTAGAATAAAGCTGCTCATAAAGTTGAGAGCCGTTTTTGAATAATCTAGTTGTTTTCCTCAAACATTAAGTCATTCTTATTTTAGAAGGAAGTAAAAAACAGACTTGATTTAAGCATAGGTCACCGAAAGTTAATGATTTTGACTGACTGTAAATAAAGTACTGTTAGTTAAATATTACTGGATGGAGAACTTAGACAATCCAAAGTAATCGTGGAGGGGATTTTTAGTAAGTAGTGAAAATTAATTTAAAGAATATAATTTAGTTAAACGGTCTTATGTGACATACTTTACAGTCACCAGAAATATAATCAATCTAATTTTACCACCATAAAAAACAATGCTTTCATTAATTTCACCCCCTTATACTTTACATAGTTTCTTTTATGTCCCAGTACCTGACAGCGTGTGACGGGAAAAACTATTTACAAGTTAGGCTAATCTTCACAAACATCTAGACCAAATTAAAAACGTTTTAGAACTTCATGTAAATTCCGGTTGAAATCTGAAACTAATCAGTTGCTGTTGGCAAATGTGGATCCTGAATAAACTGCATTGATATTGTCATTTAGTCGTAAGTTTTTAGTGAAATTAGAATCCAATCTTACACACGGTTCAACCCTAGTCTCAGATCACTGACTAATTACTGTCTCACTCCTTACTTAGGTTATTTCATTGTTACAGCTGATAACAGTTTGTGATTATTACCGATATTTAGCACACAAAACCCTGAATAAGCCCTTCAATTTAATAATATTCTTATACAAATTTTCATTCTATCTTTATAAAACAGGAGGTGCAGATATTGCAATAAGTGAATAAATAAGTGTATCGCGATCCATATAACAAACGTTCTATAACATCTTTCAGGAAAATTCACTTAGTATTACTTGTTTGAATCTTCCGATTGATGTTTAGGACTGCAACTCGTCAGTCATTTATTAGCATATGTGCATACTGTGCGTATTGCCTCGATATAGCCTTATTTCACAAGCATTGTAAGCAAAGATGGATAATGGCTAGCAGTGGAATCCAGGACGCGCGTTCTTTCCTATTTGGGATTCGTCGGCTTGATGTACCTGCATCTCAGAGTTGATGTTTACTCTGGGACTCGAGCCCAGTACCTTTCTCTTCAAACGTCATCGCGTTACCCACTCAGCTACTGAGTCTTAATAGACACTTGCTTGTGCAATGGGGAAAATGTCTGAATTCTAATGATCATTAATAAAAATAGTGTTACTTTTATCTTATCGATGTAAAAAAAAAACGCTTTTAATCAATAAACTCATACTGAAAGTCTGAAGACGTCCATCAATATGTCCTTCTTCTCTTGATCTATATTTACACTTTATTAAACACTAATAATTTTGATTAAATAGTAGGTATTTCTAGTTCAAGTTCCATTAACAGAGAATAACTTTGACCTACATTGATGAAGAAATATGGACTCTGAGGTCATTTGGATCAACAGGTGAAAATACCATACGGATGCTTATTTTATGTGGGTTAAAAAATAATAATAATTTAGTTACATTTCAAATAATTAAATTCAATGTATTTACACGATTTTGAAAGGGTTTGCAAAATTTCAAAGGATTATCTTCATTATTATATGTACATATTACTAGTCAATAATATACAGAGCAATGATTCATCTATAAAATATGAGTTATAGCCGTGAGAAAGGAAAGTTCGTATTTTTTATTTTAAAAAAGGTTGGACATCTAACTTTGTTTTCCCTGGATCCATATTAATTTATTCCATCATATATCATCATAAATCTATTTTGGAATTGTGCTATTTCATAAAGTGGATTTTTTTTTCAAAGATGAAGCCAAACAAATATACTTAATTTTGCTGTCTTAAATATTAGTCTATTTATCATTCTATCTAGTCTTTCTTTACATAAAATAATTTATTATTAATAAGGCCATACATTCATGTGTATAAAGTACTCTGAATAAATATACATATAGATACTGGTAAGACGAAGGGTTCAGTAAATGAATAAAAGTATTGTAGCTCTCTCTCACTCCCTTTGATTGTCTTTAGATGGTTAAGCTGTAAAAATGTGAAATTTTTCAGTAATGATAATCATGAATAAATAACTATTTCGTCCATGAAACCAACTAATTTGTACTTACAAAATCCTTAATGCAGGTATATGTTTGTAGTTGCCATAAGAAATGATATGTCCGTTGTGTATATAATGTAATCCCTAAGATACATAGTTGATTCGTTTTTACACAAATAAACTGAACAAAAATTTGCAAACCAACTAATAGTTATGCACAACATTGGATACACATGCTTACACACACTAGAATGTATATTGTACCATTGAAAATTTGCTTGAATCTTTATTTTCAACAAAAAAAATAATAAAATAAAGATTTAATAATCTACTATGCGTGTCATTGCACAATAATCACAATGAATAACGTTTTATTCAGATCATCAAAATAAATATCTGTATATTGTTTAACACTTATCAATGTAAACTAAATTAATAATAGTCGATTCGTCCTGAAAACCGTCTAGTTCATTGTGTCACTTCCCATGTAATAACCTATTTGTGATATTTAAAAAGATGGATATTTTCTCTAAAACTAAATGTCTATTATCAATTCATACTATAATTACGACAAAATGTATAACTTTATTAATTATTTATGGACTGATAACTATTACAGTATCTCCTACAATCATAACTTGTCAAAAGATTAGTTGGGGCCTTGTTCATTCAATGTAAGTGATCTGTAATGTTTATATGAGATGACTTTTTAAATGTAAAAGTTTATAATACTGTCTGTTGATCATGTTCAATATTTATTTAAATGGAATTGTTTAATCCCTGTCGTTAGGTATATTTTATTTTTGTATGATTTTTCCTATCTTTTAATGAGACTGTTGCAAAAGAAATATTGGATTTAATTTTAAATTCCTCAGAAATATATGTGTTTACCTATGTTGCGGCGGAACAATCTTGTGATAACTAAAATTACTAAGCTAACTGGAATAATCAAAATACAGACACTCAAACTTCAAACTTACAGATATCAGGGAACAGTAGCACTAACTTATTCTTTAAGTAAATTTAAATAAAGTTATAACCTATATACAGGACTCTCAGTTAGAATAGGAAGACCATGAGTTATTTATCAATTTGAAAATGTGTGGTGAAGAATGAATATGAAGATTAAAAATCAATAATCAATCAGGTTGCTTTTATTTCCGTCACATTAAAGTGACATTGAATTCGTCTTTAATCTAACATAACTTCAAAAACTAGAGTATCTGTATCCAAAATCCTAAGTTATGATCATCATCTTTGTTTAACGATTACTTAAACGTCAATAAAGTTTACATCATTTATTATTATTAGCTCTATTCAATATTATATTTTTAGTACAATATAGAATTCTCAGCACAACGTATTTCAACAAGTTTCCGTTTCTTACTTCTTTGTCGATCCTGACGATAAATACTGAGTGATCACTCCGCCTGTAGCTCCTCTAGAGTTACTGCCGGTCCCAAGCCCGGGTAAAGGAGGAGGGTTGGGCATGGGGTTAGTGACCCCATCCCGTAGAAAACCTAACTCGCTTAAAAAGCGCTAACCAGAAAAAATAATTCAAACCATTTAAACTCTGCCCTGGGAGTTGAAGGAATAATTATGACCAGATTGCGACACTACGGATCATCGATGAACAATCAGTTGAGTAGAACTCATCACTACACGTTAACTTCATTGACTATGAGAAGGCGTTTGACAGCGTGGACAGGAGAACATTATGGAAACTTGTTCGACACTATGGAGTTCCTGAAAAGATTGTCAGCATTATCCAAAACTCATACAATGGACTACAGTGCAAAGTCGTGCATGGAGGACAGCTGACAGATACATTTCCAGTAAGGACTGGAATCAGACAAGGCTGTCTACTCTCCCCATTCCTCTTCCTTCTAGTGATTGACTGGATTATGAAGAATTCGACATCTGAGGGGAAATACGGAATACAATGGACATCTCAGAATCAATTAGATGATTTGGACTTCGCAGATGACCTAGCCCTTCTCTCTCATACACACGAACAAATGCAGATGAAGACCGCAAATGTAGCAGCAGCCTCCACATCGATAGACCTCCACATTCACAAAGGAAAACGCAAGATTCTCAAATGCAACACGGAGAACACCAACCAAACCAATAACTTTTTGATGGCGAAACTCTGGAAGAGGTGGAAACATTCACATACCTGGGAAGCATCGTTGATAAACAAGGAGGATCGGATGCAGATGTAAAGGCGAGGATTGGCAAAGCAAGGGCAGCGTTTCTACAATTGAAGAACATATGGAACTCAAAACAACTCTCAACCAATTTCAAGGTCAGAATCTTTAATACGAACGTCAAGACAGTCCTACTGTACGGAGCTGAAACGTGGGGAACTTCTACTTCGATCGTCAAGAAGGTACAAGTATTTATAAACACTTGTTTACGCAAAATACTCAACATTCATTGGCCGGATACTATCAGCAACAGGGTTTCATGGGAGAAGACAAACCAGATTCCTACTGAAAATGAAATTAGGAAAAGACGTTGGAAGTGGATCGGACATACATTAAGGAAATCACCAATGTGCATTACGACTCAATCCCTAACTTGGAATCCGGAAGGGAAGCGGAAAAGAGGAAGGCCAAAGAACACATTACGCCGGGAAATAGAAGCAGATATGAAAAGGATGAATGTTAACTGGAAAGAACTGGAAAGGAAGGCTCATGAACGAGTTGGATGGAGAATGCTGGTGAGCGGCCTATGCTCCTCGACGAGGGGTAACAGGCGTAAGTAAGTAAGTAAGTAACCAATTAAAAGTTAGCAGTCCAATAAATCGACCTCTAAATAATCAACATACAACGAAAAGTTGTACACTTTTGAGAAACACACCTGAATAGGTTATGCGATTAATAGACGTAATGGTGTGTTAAAACAAAGCGAACTAGATAACTTGTTGAAATATCTAGATGGCAGGAACAGGTAGCCCAGATGTTTAAGCAGGCCGCCAATCATTCCACTTGATGAGTTGTTAAACCAAGCGTACATAAATTATAACTAGTTTCTTTTATGTCCCTCTTTCGACTTCTTTATTATTATTATTATTATTATTATTATTATATTCTGTATAAGAGCATATCAGCAGCATCAACAATAGATGATACCCTGTGAATACATAGCCAGTGTTTAAATATATGTTGAGGCTTGACAAAAGTAATCACTACGTACTATGGTACTGATTGCAGGGAAAGTAAATAGATAAATCATCATTCACGGGCACAATTAATTTAATATTCGAATGTCTGTAAAACTTAGCAACATTCGACAGGAACTCTTAGATTTGTCATCTCAAAGTATTTTTGAGCAGAATAATCTGGAGAAATTCCGAATGTATGATAAATGTTGTTTCGACAATGCAAACTTGTCAACAAATACCAGTCTTATTGATTATCCAAGTATGGTATTTAATTTATTAAATTTATTAAATTATAAAAAACAATTTTAATTAAGCGTCACTAACTATTCCATGGTGGTCTAGCTCCAACTGACTCATGATCTCAACTATTAAAATATTCTATAAATGTTAAGAAATTAGGAAATGTCGAAAAGTTATAGGACAGCACATAATTATAATAATTTGGTCATAATAATTTCTCGTAGTGCCGATAAAATGAATCTTCCTTCTAGAAAATCTCCAAGAATTCACCTGATTTAGCGATAAAGCTTATTAAAACTGTAAGCATAGTTTGTTAACTTTGATATTTAACATAACAGTTGATTGTTCATTTTACAATTAAAGTAAATCATCAGTACTTGTGTGTAAACAAGTGATTAGACGCTACATCTGAAAAATAAATAGTTGATCAAACGAGAATATAATTTCTTATTTATAAAACATCATAGTAATGTAAAAGATGATTTGATCAGGACTAGTATTTGTAGACACTTGTTCTATATTTAAACAATGTGAAATTCTATTACTAGAAGCGACCGAAATTATAACAAACATGGTTTATATAAAACCTTGAAATTTCAGACGTTTTTCTTATTTTCATTATTATTCCGTTTTCATCAAGTACTTTCTTAAGTGCTGAACACTTCAAATCAAACGATATATATATATATATATATATATATATATATATCGTTTAAAGATCCCCATCATATTAAAAGACTAATATTTGAACGAACAGTATTCTTTTCGATAACTTCTCTTCAGGTTCTACAATTATATATCCAAATTAATAATCCGGAATAATGGCCAGGTTAAAGGCAAAGTACATCGTTCAAAGCATACCAATTTAGTACTGTCAAACCAGATAGAATAAAATTGTTAATGTTGATATGACTTGTATAGAATGTTAACACTTGAATCTGTATATATGGTAAGTGAAAATTTAAGATATGTGATCAGAATAAATATGGGTCAGATAGGGTAAGGGATATATGATGGTGTAATTACATTTCGATCAAGTGGAAGACTAAATTGTGTGAAAAATTAGTGAGACGTAATAAGGAGGGATCAATGCGAAGTGAATGAATCATGTCTAGGGGGACTAATAATGATGTTTAACCAAAAATAATAATAATAATAATAATAATAATAATTATTATTATTATTATTATTATTATTATTATTATTATAAAATACAAAGATTTGTGAATAAGAAAGACAATTGCATTTGACTACGAAAGGTCGTAAGTACATAGTCAAATTAGGTCATACAATAGCTAAGATTATTGTTGATTAATTGGCCTTGTGGTTGGCCAAGGGAGGAGTAGGGGTTGGAGATATTTCTTCCGTACGCATAGCTCAGGTTTCTTCATCCTGATGACTACTGCCTCCGCCGTTTGAAGGACTTTAAGCCTGACAAGCTTTGGTAAAAAATTACTGACCCTATAAATAATTGGAAAGGATTGGTTTATACAGGCACTATGACCAGTTTGTACTAAATGGGCCAAAATCGAGCTGTTTACTTTCTTCATCAGCCACTTTTTCGGATTATTAATTTGGATATATAATTGTAGAACCTGAAGAGAATTTATCGAAAAGAATATTCTTCGTTCAAATATTAGTCTCTTAATATATATATATATATATATATATATATATATATATATATATTATATATATTATATATATATATATATATATATATATATATATATTCTGTACACTATCATACTTCGTATCCTATCAATCTGCATATTATTACTTATCTATACTTAATGTCATTTTGTGTAATAAAAACATTTTGCTAAACATTCCCAACGAATAGTTTCATAATATTTGGGAGCCGAGTTGATGTAAGACATTAAATAGGAATAATATGTTTGTAAAATCTCAGAGAATGAATTTGAAGTAAATCCAAGGTTTCGCCTGGCAATCTGGCCCTTGAAAAAGCTTGGACGAGATTGCCAGGCAAAACGTTGGATTTACTTCAAATTCATTCTCTGAGATTTTACAAATATATTATTCCTATTTATTCCCAACGAATACTCGCAAACAATACGCGAAATATTGGTTTTCCAATTGAAGGTTGTTATTTGACTGGTATGACTTAGGTGAAAAGTGGCTAATGATTCATTTTGTCACTTTTAAGGAAAACAAACTAGAATAAAATGGTATTTGGTGAATACGTCCTGTTGTAGAATCTGATATTAGACGTATTTTGTTTGATGTTATGGAAGTCATATTCAT